CACGGGGGCATTTCGGCATTGGCCTCGTGGAGCCCCGCCTTCCTAAGGCTCGCTGAAAGCGCTTCAGCTTCTCATCCTCGGCCCGTTGCCTCTCTCCGTCGCAGGGTCTGCAACCTGGGTCAACCCAGGAGAAGAGACGCGCGGCGTAGTTGCGAATGCGCTTCGCGGCCCGAGGGGTCGCGCAGCAGGGCCCAGTGACTACATTCGCTGGGTTGGCCGGGTCCGGATGGGACGCGCGGATGCGGGCCAGCCTCTCAGAGGCTGCAGGAAACCCACAAGGGTAACACATGTGTGAGATCGGGCCCGCCGCTGGGTCCTTCAGCGGAGGTGCGCCAACTGTCTCCTTCGCAGTTCTCCTCCGCCAAATCCCTTGGTTCCACGAGTCCTCCGACGCAAGCCTGGCTTTACGAATGGCGGAGGCGATGAGAGAGCGATACCTCCTGGGGTCGCTGCGCGCGGCGCGGATCCAGTCGGCAAGGTTTGCCTCGCCTGGCCTCCTGCTCGGATCAGTGCGCGAGTTGAGCCAGTCGGTGTCCTCGTTGACCAACTTGCCCCAAGAGCCAAGGGTCATCCAGGCTTGGTCTACTAGTGCTCTGGTCATGGGGAGGGGGGGGCGCGCCGGCATCCTGCCGAGGTAGCGGGGCCTAGCCACAGCGAGGGCCTGATGGGTTCCGAGCCTCTTGGCCTGCAGCCAAATCTGGGCGTTGTCAATGTGCTCCTCGGCGCTATTACTCCTTGCGCGATGCAAGCCAGCTCTGTAAAGCCCAACATGAGCTTTGACCACCTTGGCCATCAGGCATTGGGTCGGTCTCGGCCAGGCGGCAGCCGCGTAGAACAACGCAGATACCGATAGGGCGTCTACATAGGTGACCTTAGTGGAGTCCTTCAGAGCCTCGCGGGCGGCCACCGTGAGCTTGATGGGCAAGACGGCGGCGTTCACGTGTTCCATTCTGGTCATGATCTCCTAGCTCAGCGATCCTTGATGCGCATGCCACGATCCTAACACCTTATGCTTTGTGACAATGGGAAACTGGAACCCCCGCTTGGCGGAGAAATCTGAGTCCTTTCCTCCTCCAATAGCCCCATTGGGATTGTCCTGGGCCCGGGGCCCCGCCACGAGATGGGGACTTGTGTTTTCGTGGCGTTGGGCTTCCATTCGTGAGAGCATGCGGCGCAACAGACTGCCTCTCTCGCTGCCAAGGCTGATGCGTTTACCTCGGACGTCGCATGAACGGCTACTTCATCTGTCAGATCGTCAACCGAGGATTGATCAACTTGCGCTTGATCCCAGTCGTCGGCCGAGGAGAATAGAGGTTCGGGCCCAGGTAAGCCCCACTTGGTTTCCTGGAGACACTCCGAAAGATTTTTGCGCAAATCACCGTGGACCTTGGCAAAAGCCGGTTTGAACATGTCAGTGGCAAACACGGTGCCAGGGCGGGTTCCTGCGGCAGCTTCAAAGTGTTTCGCCTCCCTTACCCTGCAGAAGCCGTTTCGCGGGGTCCTTCTCATTAGTTCAGCCAGGTGCTTGGCCGGGATGTGACGCTCGAACATGGGCGTCTCTTGCAATTGCATCTTGGCCTCATGCCAGGTCACATCAGGGAACTGCGCGCCCTCTAACGCGTCTAGGTAGGGCGTCTTCCAAATCTTCTAGAAGCGAGAGAGCAAACTGTCTGATGGTTGTAGAAGGCACTCTTGCAATCCAAGCTGGGAACTCATCCTCCTCCTCCTCCTCCTCCTCCTCCTCCTCCTCCTCCTCATCATCATCATCATCATCATCATTAGCAGCCGCAGCATCATCATCATTATCATCATCGTCACCCTGCTGCTCCTCCTCCTCGTCCTCCTTCCATCCCTCCCTCCCTCCTTCCCTCCCCCCTTCCTCGTCGCCTCCTTCCTCCTCCTCCTCCTCCTCCTCCTCCTCCTCATCCTCCTCCCCCCCTCCTCCTCCTCCTCCTCCTCCTCCTCCTCCTCCTCCTCCTCCTCCTCTCCTCCTCCTCCTCCTCCTCCTCCCTCCTCGTCCTCCTCCCCCACCGCCACCGCCTCCGCCTCCTCCTCCTCCTCCTCATCCTCCTCTTCCTCCTCCTCTCCTCCTCTTCCTCCTCCTCATCCTCCTCCTGTTGCTGCTCCTCCTCCTCATGCTCCTCCTCGTCCTCCTCCTCCTCCTCCCCTCTCCTCCTCCTCCTCCTCCTCCTCCTCCTCCTCCTCCTCCTCCCCTCCCCCCCCTCATCCGCCTCCTCCTCCTCCCCCTCCATCTCCCCCTCCGCCTCCGCCTCCTCCGCCCCCTCCCCTCCGCTTCTCCTCCTCCTCCTCATCATCTCCTCCTCCCCTCCTCCTCCTCTCTCATCTCCTCCCCCTCCTCCTCCTCCTCCACATCCTCCTCCTCCCCTCCTCCTCCTCCTACCTCCTCCTCCTCCTCCTCCTCCTCCTCCTCCTCCTCCCTCCTCCCCCCCTCCTCCTCCGCTTCCGCCTCCTCCTCGTCCTCCTCCTCCCTCCTCCTCCTCCTCCTCCCCCTCCTCTCCCCCTCCTCCTCCTCCTCCTCCTCCGCCTCCTCCTCCTCCCCCTCCTCCTCGTCCTCCGCCTCCTCCTCCTCATCAGCATCAATATCATCACATCAGCATCAGCATCATCATCATCTTCATTATTCTCCTTCTCGTCTTCCCCTCCCTCCCGCCCTCCTCCCTCCTCCTCCTCCTCCTCCTCCTCCTCCTCCTCCTCATGTTCATCTTCCTCCTCCTCATCCTCCTCTTCCTCCTCCTCATCCTCTTTCCGTAGCCATTTTGGCTCAAGCCTTTCCGTAGGCCCCCCGCTCCTGGACCTTGTCCCCAGCCGTACCCCGCGACCCCAGGTTCACGGGGCAACGCTGGCGGGCGGGGGGGACTTGGGGGAGCGGGGCTTCTGGCTCACGGAGCATGGCGCGGGACGGGTCCCTCTCTGGGGCTCGTGGTAGGACCCGGGCGGAGCGCTCTGCTGCGGCGTGGCGGGCCCGGGAGGCGGCGGATGGAGCCATCGCCAAGCTCCAGGCCAAGCTCGACGAGGCGCACGGCCTCGTCTCGGCGCTGGAGGAGGATGCCGAAGCTTTCTTTCTCGGAGGGCAAGGAGGCCGCTGCGATGAGTTGCGACGTCGTCTCCGGCTGATCGTGCCTGTCCTGGCAGCTGGCCTCGCAGGGGCGCGGGCCCCTGGCACCGCCAGAGCCAAGCGCAACCTGGCGTCGCACGCCTTCGACGTCCCCGTGGCGGTCATCGAGGGCGCCTCGCAGACGGCGCTCAACAGGCTCCAGCGCGAGGGTCTGGCGGCCATAGAGACCACGGCAGCGCCCTCGGCTCTCTGCAACGACGTCCCCGCTTTCTGTTTGGGGCTGGGACGCTGGGAGCCGACGGAATCCCACCAATCCGTCGGCACGCGGTGCACATGCGGGGCGGTCGCATTCTCGTCGAGCACGGCTGAATGCGCTGGGGTGCCGCGCTGCACGGGGACGCCTCGAGCTGCAGCACGGTCGAGCGCGCTCCGCGCCGAGGCGGAGTGCTTCCAGCAATCTGAGCCTTGGTCGCACGACGCCAGAGAGTACGAGGTGACCGAGGAGCCCTACGCCCAGCCCGACGCCCAGCCCGACGCGGAGCTTTCGCAGACCGACGCCGAGTTCGTGCAGGGCTCGGTGCAGGAGCTGGGAACCGCGGGCGAAGAGGGTCGAGGAGGAGGTGTACGAGGAGTCCCCTTCTCTTTCGCCCCTGGTTCGTTTCGCCAGGGTGGTGTAGATCTCGATAGTGAAGATCAGAGTGCTGGTGCTTGCGGTTATCGAGATCGCCGAGGTCTCTCCACGAAGAGCCGCAAGAATGATGTGGTTCGTCGCAGCCCTGTGTATTTCGATCCTGGCCTGAAGGTACCGCAGGGCGCAGTTTCGCAGGCTTCTGGCATCGGCCCCCCGCAGGAGGCGGAATGCAAGCAGCAGTGATGTTATCCCTCCTGCTTATGTGTGGCAGCTGTACTTCGTGCTCCACGTGCCGTTCGGCTACTTCCTCGCGGTCTTCGTGTCGCTCGAGGGCGCGCTGCACTTCTGAGTCTCGAGCCCCGGGCTCGTCAGAGTTGTTGATGTCAAAAGGAGCTGCTCGCGTTAGGTCTGCGGGGTCTGTCGGCTCCGTCTGTCCTCGGTCCCTGGGGTGCCCGTCGTGCGCGTCGGCCACCGCCTTGGTCCGCTGCCGCCAGCTTTTGTCTCAGCCCAGGCTGTTTCAATCTGTCGGCCCTCACCTCTCTCTGCGGTTGATGTTGAAAAATCCTCCTCATCCTCCTCCTCTTGCTGCTCCTCCTCCTCATGCTCCTCCTCGTCCTCCTCCTCCTCCTCCTCCTCCTCCTCCTCCTCCTCCTCCTCCTTCTCCTCATCTTCATCATCCTCCTCCTTCCCCTTTTCCCCTTCACCTTCCCCTCCTTTTCCTCCTCCTAATCCCCCTCCGCCTCCTCCGCCTCCTCCTCCCCCTCCTCCTCCTCCTCCTCCTCCTCCTTTCCTACTCCTCCTCCTCCGCCTCCTCCTTCACCCCCTCCTCTTCCTGCTCTTCCTCCTCCTCCTCCTCCTCCTCCTCCTCCTCCTCCTGCCCCTCCTCTCCTCCTCCTCCGCCTCCTCCTCCTCCGCCTCCGCCTCCTCCTCCTCCTCCTCCTCTCCCCCCCTCCTCCTCCTCCTCCCCTCCTCCTCCTCCTCCTCCTCCTCCTCCTCCTCCTCCTCCTCCTCCTCCTCCTCCTCCTCCTCCTCCTCCTCCCCTCCCTCCTCCTCCTCCTCCTCCTCTTCCTCCTCCTCCTCCTCCTCCCTCCTCCTCCTCCCTCCTCCTCCTCCTCCTCCTCCTCCGCCCCCTCCTCCTCCCCTCCTCCCTCGCCTCCGCCTCCTCCGCTTCCTCCTCCTCCTCCTCCTCCTTCTCCTCCTCCTGCCTCCTCCTCCTCCTCCTCCTCCCCCTCCTCCTCCTCCTCCTCCTCCTCCTCCTCCTCCTCCTCCTCGGAGCGGCCGCCCGCGGCCGAGGCCTTGATAAAGATCTTCGAGTCTACAGGCCGCGGTAGTCGTCCGCTGGGGGCCGGCGCGGCCCCGACATGGGTAAGCAGTGGCGAAGCGTCGCGGCTTGCCTGTAGGCCTACCAAAGAATGTTCTAAGAACCAGTTGTGGCCTACACGAAATGTTCTCAGAACATTTCTGGCTGAGACCATCCTGTTTTAATGCATCGGGTTTATGGTCTACGAACTTCGCTTTCGTTGTAAGAACATTCATTGGTTCTCCGAACACTCTGTGGTAGGCGTATTGGAATGCAGGGACGGTCGGTCCCTGCTCAACATCGGGCTCTCTCCCGGGGGGGACGGGAGGCCATAAAATCCTCGCGCCATGAAACATCAGCCACGCGCAGAGGGGAGCGGGCGGAGGGGGAGGTTTTTTTCAGAAGCACCCCTGCTTCGGAGGAGACGTGGGCCTTACTTACCTGTGGATACAGGACCAGCTTTGCAACAGTCAGGATGAATGATCAATCACAAGAAATTTGCCTCTGGGGGCCCTTGCAAGGCCCAAGGCTGTCAGAACACGGCTCGGGATGAAACGCCAGTACACAGCGTGGGGTCCAGACTTGTGGGGGCCCACGTCGTGAATTATCGTGGCGAAGGACCCAACCATATGCAGTTGTGAAAACCAGAGTTGTGATGACTTCCTTTGGTTGAGCACCCTGGCCGCATGCGAACGCAACCGATGGAGCCTCCAATGGAGCTCCCTGAAGCGGCCACGAAACGTTCGAGAGGTGCGCCGAAATGGCGGACCGCATGCGAACGCAGCCACGGGGGCCTTCGGTGGAGCTCTCAATGGGGCCACGGAACGTGTGAGGGGTGTACCGAAATGGGGGCGGAACCGCATGCGAACGCAGACATTGGGTCTTTTTGGCGGAGCTCCCTACGGGGCCACGAAACGTGTGAGGGGTGTGCCGAAATGGGAGTGGAACCGAATGCGAACGCAGCAACTGGGGCCTTCGGCGGAGCCCCATACGGGGCCACAAAACGTAGGAGGGGTGTGCCGAAATGGGGGTGGAATCGCATGCGCTCGCAGCAACAGGGGCCTTCGGCGGAGCTCCCTATGAGGCCACAAAACGTTTGAGGGGTGTGCCGAAATGGGGGTGGAACCGCATGCGCTCGCAGCCACCAGGGCCTTCGGCGCAGCTCCATTTCGGCGGAACCGCATGCGAATGCAGTCACTGAGGCCTTCGGCTGAGCTTCCTATGGGGTCACGAAACGTGTGAGGGGTGTGCCGAAATGGGGGTGGAACCGCATGCGAACACAGTGTCCGGGGCCTTCGGTGGAGCTCCCGATGGGGGCCACGAGACGTGTGAGGGGTGTGCCGAAATGGGGGTGGAACCGCATGCGAACGCAGGCGCTGGGGCCTTGGGTGGAGCTTCCTATAGGGGCCACGAAACGTGTGAGGTGTGTACCGAAATTGGGGTGGAACCGCATGCGAACGCAGCCACTGGGGCCTTCGATGGAGCCTCCTATGGGGCCACGAAACGTGTCAGAGGTGTGCCCCCCCGAATGGGAGTGGAGAGAAGGGAGGATCGGGAGGGGGAGGAGGAGGAGAGGAAGGAAGGAAGGAACGCAGGGCGTTGTCTCTTCAAAACAAGGATCCAACACCACAGGATGGTTGGGAAAAACATGACGGTGGGGTCTATAGGATCAGGTGCACAGTTAGGGGGGGCAGATTGAGGGGAGGATGCATGTTGTCCGAATCGCTCGTTCGTCGCCGATAGGGCCAGATAACCAACCCCGCCCGCCAAAGAACGTCTGGTTTAACTATTTGGGCCTATGGCCCATCTATCGGCGATGTATCGCGGATCTCAGGTCGACGTTTACCCTTCTCCATGGTCCGTCGCTGTTCGAGACCGAAGGAAATGGCGTGCGCAGGCTGAAGGATACAAGAAAGAATCCTAAGTTCAGCTACCCTTGCAATTTTCCAACGCCCCACGTTAATTCATTTCTCTTAGCCCACGTCCGGGCCGTGCTTCTGCTTGACTTTGCTTGCTTGCCTGGGTCTGGGGCGGCCAAGAGTGGGGTAACGACAAGGGGCGTGTGGATATCATGGCGGGGCCATGATCTCTCCCCAGCTTTCGTGGCGCCCCTTCCTATTTCAATACGTCTCAGGCCCCCCCCCCTGGGCCGCGCACATGCCGCTGGCCATGATTTGCGCCCGGCCCTCTTGGGCGCCCCCCTCTTGGACGCCCCCGACTGGGGGGGGGGGAACCTGCACTTCCCCTCGTCCACGGACGGGTTTTGGGCAGTCGTCGGCCTCTGGGGGCCCTCACCTGGCTCAGTCACCTCACCGTCAAAGATCTAGTTGCAGGACGAACATGCCGACTCCTGGAAGCGGTCGGGACCCCTGGGGGACCAGCGTTGCGAAAATAACACGACGTCGGAGGTCTAGGGAGGAGGAGGAGGAGGAAGATGAGGAGGAGGAGGGAGGAGGAGGAAGAGAGGGAGGAGTGCGCACTCGACCTCGGCTTCTCACGGGAGGAAGGCTGGCCAGCGAGGGCGAGAGAGAGCGAGAGCGGGATGGGGGATGGGGGATGGCCGGAGTGGCGCCCGCGGCAGGGTCAGGAGGGCAGAAGGATGCCAACCTTTGGCTATACCCAGGCGGCGCTGGCGTGCTCTTCTCGTGCGCGCGCCCAAGTCTTTGGAGCCTCATGGTGCGTGCACTCTGGGCCGCATCAGCGGTTCAGCGATTCAGGGAGAGGTGCGGAGGATGAGAAGGGGTGCAGGTGTGTGCTGCAGGGAAGGTCGGTTCGTGTGGCGTTTTTATTTTGCTGGGCGGGCGGTATGCTGCCTCGCGCTACTGTGCTTGCCACACCGCGGTGAGATTCAATTCAGGAGGGGGGAAACACACAGACACAAACAATCGTCGATCCCCAGGAAACCTGGGAAAATTTGGTAAGTGGGGGGAAGAAGAAGATCAAGAAAACGTGAAAACATATGGGGGATCCGGGGATTTGCGTGTAGTTGTTTGTGTGTCCCTCGGCCCCTTCGTCAATAGTCTTGCGTCCCTCGTCTCGAGCGCAATGCTGCTGCACGGCCTCCAGGGCAAGAGCTCCTCTCAGCAAGCTGCAGAGCCAGGCATAGGAGAACAGCAGCGGCGTCCCCGTGTGACGGGTGTCTCAGTTGACCTGCAGCAGCTCCAGGCGTTGTATTGTCATCCCGTGTCTTTGAGCTGGAGCAACCCTTCAACATGCAGATTGGTGTTCGGCGGCGAGCGAGGGGGGAAGTGGAAGGAGAAGGTCGTCTCAGAAGGCGGCGGGGCTTCTCAGAAGCGCTGCGGCCTTCTGAGGGGTGTTCTGGGTCTCCTGGAAAGGCTCATAAAATTTGTCATAAGGCCGCGGGACTTCCAAGCGTTCTGAGAAGGTCCGCCACTTTTCATTTCCCCCCTGGGCTCGCCGCCGAGATGTTCATCTCCAGCATCGTTTCCATATGCTCACGCTCTTTCCGGATGTGTCTTGCTCATCCTCCCTGCTCTCCCCACTTTCTTCCGCCTTCGGCTGTCCCGTCCACCCCGACACTGCGCCTCGTCCTCCTCCGCACCCGAGGCGGGGCAGGTTGGCGAGCCAACGACAACTGGGTCAGCGACTCGACGGGCGGCTGGAGCGAGCCCTGCTGGGATTTCTGGCCTCCCTGGGGGGGGGGGGGCTCGCGCGCGAGTCGCCACGCGGCGAAGTCGTGCTTGGGGTAAAGCACGGTCGCTCAGACGTGAGGCGCCGGGCAAGTATCAACGCGGCACTATCGTCTGGGGGACAGCTGGAACCCCACGGTGTGGAGAAGACCATGGCGCCAGTGGTCTGGAGGAGCGGGGCGCGGCCTGCTTTGATCATCGGTGGAGTCGGAGGACTCTGCGTCACGACTCTCGGCTTCTTCATGCTGCTTCGCGCACTGTGCCCGTGGAGGACGGGCTCTGATATCCGGGCCGTTTCCCAACTCTGGGCCGGGGAACCTGCCGTCGACCCGCATGGGAAGGATGGCGCGGTTTTCCAGGGCTGCCCTGGCATCTTTGCCCCTTCGGCCCATCCTTGGCGACTTTCGCTGGCCAGCCTCGTTCGAAAAACGTTGACATGGCCCTCCAAGGCCTTTGCATCCTTATCCTGCGTCATGACTCTACGGGATGGCTGCGTTTGTGGCCGAGACTCGCCGTGGCCAGAAGAGCCCCGTCGTTCCCTCTTCTGCGCTCCGCTTGGTAGGGAGCAGGACTGCGTCAGCATACACATTCGGAGGTCCGCGCAGGTGTCGTAAGATCCTCAAGTGCCGACGAAGCATGTTCCGCAAGATCCCTTACCGCAAGATCTGTCATCGTGTGTGCCCGCTGTGTTGAACGCGCCCCACGTGGACTGCGTGCTCTGCCCGTGGAGAGGAGCGCGGCGCAGCTGTCGCCCGCTAGGCCGCATCTGCGGGAGACGGCGATCGGGGGGACCGGCGCTGGGCCCGCCTGGCGGCGCCTGCGGCGCCGCCCCTTGGCATCGCTCGGACGTGTGCATTTTTTTCTCGGCGAGGACCTTCGAGGAGCATCCTCGACCATTTGGCGAAAAAAACGCGCACGAAACCGAAAAAAGCACAGGAAATGGACGTCCGAGCGATGGCGAGGCCCCTGTCGCGCTCCACGCGGAGGGATCCACGCCGGCGTCCAAAAGCGCGTGCTTGTGTTGTCCGTGCTCGCACGGTCGGACCGAGGTATGAGATCGAGGTCGACTCGGGGAGGGGACCCTGGTGTTCCTCGTGTCCGTTGGGTGTGCTTGTGTGCTGGGGAGTGGTGCCCTCGAGTGTTCGTCAGTTTGGCCGGCGGAAGGTCGCATGTTCTTGAAGGATTTTCTTCTGCACTGGGCCCGGCTGTAGCTATCTTACTGTCGGCCCGGATTAGTAGGTCGACCTTGCCAAATCAAGGGTACCCTCGTGTCCTGTGTCTCTCGACCAATGCCTCCTACATTCCTATGGCAATGTGGACCTCGGAAGGGTCTTGTATCCTCTCCAATCCAGTCCGACTGTAATGCACCTCCTTCTAAAGCACCTAAAGCGCAGCCCACGGCGCGAAGGCCATCTGGAAGCCTCTCGGGACCACCGTTTGGGGGTTCTTGGGGGCGCGCTTGGCCGTCGTCGGAGGTTCTTGGGCCGTCTGTCGCCGTCGGGGGCCGGTGCTGGTGGCCTCAGTGGTGCCGTCTTGGGGGCCTCCTGGGCACGTGTCGCGGCTCTCTCGGGCCGCCATGGAGCCCTCCTCGGTGCTTCCTGGGCCGTCTTGGGGGCCCTCTTGGGGGCCTCCTTGGCCGTCTTGGGCCGTCTTGCGGGCGCTGGGTGGGTCGCGAGCGGGTCGCGGGTGGGCCGCGGGGGGGACGACTACGACGACGACAATCAGGAATCAACAACTAGCAAACAAGTAGAGACCGGGTCACAGAATCCCACTGCGCCCACGCATCCAGGGATGGTGTAAGACTTGTCGGCCCCTTCACTTTGACAGTACCAAATTGCTTGCAGGTGCCCCTCAGAAAGGTCTTGTTCCCCGGTTGGCCCTGGGATCCCACAGAAGCTTGTCGTGTGGTACCCAGGGACCTTGGGTCGGGGGAGCGTAAGACCCGGGTTTGCCAGGACTCGGGTTCGACATCGTTTTTTGACGACCGCGCCCCGGATTTTGACGAGGAGGAGTTTCGTGGGATGTCTGCAGCGGGAGGCCTCGTCAAAATGCAGGCTCGGCCTCGTCATTTTTTTGACGACCTCGTCGGAGATTTCCGAGTCCCCTGCACCCAGGTCTTACGTCCCCCCGATTGGGGCCCGATGGACCCCAGGGACCCTGGCACGCTGGGACGCTCGGCACGATTTCTTGTCTTGCGTGCCAGCTGTACGGCGCCCTGCCACTCCCGGGGGGGGCGACCGGGGCGGAGGGTGGGCGGGCGAGAGAGGGGCGAGGGGGGGCGGAAGCAACGGGGGAAGGGGGACGAGTGGGGGGGCGAGGAAAGTGGAGGAGGAGGAGGAGGAGGAGGAGGAGGAGGACGAGGAGGAGGAGGAGGAGCAGGAGGAGGAGGAGGAGGAGGCGGAGGAGGAGGAGGAGAAGGAGGAGGAGGAGGCGGAAGAAACGGGGGAAGGTGGAACGAGTGGGGGGGGCGACGGAAAGTCGAGGAAACGCAGGCACAGATCGAGGCACGCGGATTGGCGACGGAGGACACGCAAAAACATTGAAAAAAAGACGTTTCGGGGGGGGCGGCCTTCCCGGATCCGTAGTTCTGGCGCCCACGGGCCAGATCCACGGAGCCGCAACCTAGATCAGGAGGGAGAAATGGACACGGGCACAAATCAGCGTACATTCCCAGGAAAATGTTCGAAAATATTGCAAGTGGAGGGGAAGACGAACATACAGGGAATCCACGAATGAACAGACACACTATTCATGTGTGTTTCCCTTGGCCCCTTGGAATGTTCGCCTGCGCCCGAGGACGGGGGGTGTGGGGGCCGGCGAAGACTGCTGCAGGCAGCCGGGTGCGGTCTCCCAGTGGTGGCCGCTGGGCACATCCCCTGACACATGGCCGCTTCCGACGACGGGGGGCAGCTGCGCCCCTACGGTACCCCCACGTTTACTATCGTCCTTTCGCAGAGGATGAAAAGCACCAGTACCGCTGCCTGTGCCTCGTTCTCGCCGTTCTGGGTCTCCTACCTGGGAGGTTCTCGTGGCCGCCGCTGGATTCGTACCGAAACCTCGGTCAGAACGCACTCCGGGAGAGGTTTAGGGAGTAGCAGTATAGGTGCTGTTTGGTTTCTCAATTTTCGCCCGCTCCGATATTCCTCTCTGCTCTTCGTCTTTCGTCCAGCAGCAGGTATGGCGTGACCTGCGACGAGCACGGCCACGTTATAGCGCTGGAGCTGTCGGACAACAGGCCCTGCCGGCTGGAAGCCAGGTGGTACATTTCTGTCCGATTCGACGTCGGTTCGGGCCGATTCGGACCGATCCGATTCCGGTATCCCGGCGATCCGATTCGGCAACGTGCTCGCATGGCGCTGTTCTGTATCCGTTCGCGTCCGATCCGATTCGATTGCGATTGTGCAGCTCGATCCGACGCACGTTCCGATTGGACCCCGTTTCTCGATTCGATGTTGATGGATCTTTCAGGAGAGGAAAAAAACACACAGACACAATTAATCGTCGATTCCCAGGAAAATATGGGAAAGTATGGGAAGTGGGGGGGAAGACAAAAACCCAGAAAATATAGGAAAATATTGGGAATTATTTTGTTTGTGTGTATTTATGTGTGTGTCCCAGGGCCCCTTCATAGGCGTCCGCCACAAAAAAAATACACAGACACACCACTGAGAGCCAGCGACTTTCTACACCGCCACCCTCCCTGAAGGCACATACACACGTTCGTTGAAGGGTGTCTGCATATATACAAATATATACATAGATATATAGATATGTATGTATACATACATACATACATGCATACATTCCGTGGCGTATAAGCGGGCACCCTTGATAAACCAGGACACTGGCGCGCCCGAGGGAGTTGCAGCCGTGGGTCGAAACAGATTATCCACTCCTCGTCCTCCCCGGGTGGATTTGTCACAGTCCTGGTTTGCACCCTCCTGGCTTAACGGTCCCCGAGCGCAGCCGGTTCGTTCCGTCCCGCTGGCCTCGCTCAGAGCCCCGAATTATCAGGGCAGGGGGGGGGGCCACGAGCTCCTGATTCGTGGCTTGGGGGCCCAAACCGAGTTGCTCCGCACCAGAGTTACCGGGCGGCCAACCATTCCCAAATCATCGGGGTTGGGTGGGGTCAGGGGTAATTCCTGTTTCGTGCGTCAGGGGTACAACCTGGATTTACCCTGGGCCGGAGGTATCCCGGATTCTTCGGGCGTCCATTTGGCGCGCGCGAGGCATGTTGTTCTTTGAATGGTGTGTGTTGCGCCAAACCTGCGAGCAGCACGGCAAACCCCGGCGGCGAGGATGCGGAGAGCGGTTCAAAGGAGAACGACGTACGAGAACACGATATGGTAATGGTGCATGCGGTCTTCTTCGAAGACCACGCCACCTGCGGCCGAGACCCCCCTTCCACCTCCGCCGCCTCCACCTCGCCGACGCCGCCTCGCCCTTCCCTACCTCCTCCTCGCTTGTCGCCCTCTCATCCTCCTGTAATGACCTGCCTCCTCCGCCTCCTCGCCCTCCTGTCTTCCAAGATGAGGACGAGAATCGTTGGGTGAGACCCGGTCCCGAACCAAACCTCCAGGTCGGTTTGAGAGTTCGCCGCGGCAATCGCTGCGGCCACCAATCGGGGCGAGATTTTTGTTAAGAAGTGGCATGCCCCTTATCTGACCCCCCCGCACTCTGCGATGCAGACGTGGCCTAGAATGAACCATATAGCGACAGGGAGTTGTCAATTGATGTCCACAATGAGCAATCACGTTTTTGCTCAGGGGCCAATCATCACGCGACCATAGAAGGACGATTCCTGGGCTCCGTTTACCTTGAGCGCACTGGTGGTATCTAGGAGGTTCCCCTTGCGCCTTACAGTGGAGACCCGTGCCAAGAAACACTTTGCTTGCCTCCAGGGTGCCCTTGGTTTCTTGGGCTTCGATGGATTTGCTGTGGAAATCGTGACGCCCCCACACCAGAAATCCATGGACGTCCTGGGGTCTCGGGGTTGGGCTTCCTGTGGAAGGTCTCTCGTGGTCGGGCCCCCCCTGTCCTTCGGCGGCATCCACGGGGGGTCGGGTCGAGGGGGGACCGGCTTCTCCGAGGGCGGCGGGGCTCCCAAGAAGGCACTGCCGCTTTCGTATGTAGCAGGCCGCCCCCCTGGCGCCACGCTCCTCGGGGGGTCGCCAACACAGACCACTGCTGTTGCGATTCTGCGGGCTCGTGCGCTGTCCGTGGCGGCGCCTCTCTGCTTCCAAAGGCTCGTCGGCTCTCTGCCAGACGCGCTGGGAGACCTCTGGCACCTCATGAAGCTCGACCTCTCCTCGACCTCCTCCGCGTATCACACGCACGAGAACGCTGACACGAACGTGTTGACAGGGGCGCTGCCTTCGTTGGCTAAAGCGACGCGCTTGGCAGAGGATCGCGTCTGGCTTCGGCTTGGCACAATACAGCGAACGGTTTTGCGTTCTTCCCAGCGGCCAGTGAGCAAGTAGAGGGGACCAGGTTCGACCACATGATTGTTCGTGCGGTGATGGATACGTCAGCATGCGGGTGGCTCCTCGACCTCGCACTCTTCCTCACCATCCGCATGTGCCATTCATTTCAAGTTGCTTCTTGGCGTGTCTCTGAATGACGATCTCTGCGAGTGCGTTGAGAAGGACTCTTGCGTGCAATTGGAAGGACTTGGGAGCATATCCGTGTCACCAAGAGCGAAGGGATTGCACTGACAGGGGAAGGTATAACTGTGCGAGCAGGCAAGGAGTAGCAACAGTTTGGGGGTTGAAGAATATCAGATCAGGTTGGGGCATCTGTGTAGGCACAGTGGCTGCTTGCAACTCTGTTTGCAACGGTGTATGAATATATATATATATATATAAAAACATGTATAATATATATATATATATCGTACTAGATATTTGCATGCATATATATGTATATATACATGAAGGCCAGCAAACCTTAGCAGATATGCAGTTGTTAGCAGAGCAGTTGAGCAGATTGCAGCACCTGGGCCAGCCTGCAGCTTCCGATGCGACGCCGAGTGCGACACGAACCGGACGCTGAAAGGCGGCAGACTCACCCAGCGCCTGCTCCGGCAGGCCGCCGGAGGCCTCCCCGGCGTCCGGGGCCTCGGGGGATCCCCTAGGGGATCCTCTCGGGGATCCCCTCGGGGATCCTCTCGGGGATCCCCTCGGGGATCCTCTCGGGGATCCTCTCGGGGATCCTCTCGGGGATCCCCTCGGGGATCCCCTCGGGGATCCTCTCGGGTGCCCTGGGGGCCCCTTGGGGGGCGCGCGCTCGGTCCTGGGGGTGGCAGGGCCGCTCGGGCCGGCTGGCGCTGGCAGAGGGAGGCCAGGAGAAGGAGGCGGGGCCAAAGGGTCCCGACCTCCCTTCGCCTCGGCCTTCGGGGCCTCGCCCCGACTGACTCCTGGTGGAGCGACGGTGAACAAGAGAACTGGGGCCAAGTCGGGGTCAGACACACATCTAGGAGGAAGGACAGAGATCCAGATCAGGAAGTGGAAGCACTAGTTCTCGCGTGCGCAGTGGAGTAGAGGTTTGAATAAGAGCCGGCTACCAGATTGACATATCTGGAAACCAGTTCCAGTCTTTGCCTGATGACCTCTCGTCGAGCTGGCAGACGCTACGCGTATTGAGCGCAAGGATGCGTTTTGAGAATGGTTTGTTGTTCGTGTTGGATGTACGCGACCAGCATTGGGATATGGGGCAGAACATCGGTTGTTGTGGTTTCGTTGGTTGGAGGGTAATGGGCAAGAGGAGGCGAACGAGGTAAAAGGGGAAACGAGAAGAGAAGGACGATAGCTGCGAGAAGTGCGCCCTGCAAAAGTTGCAGCGGCGGACCCGCTTTGATGTGCGTGCTTCCGTAACTGCCTTGCGGGTGACTAGGAGGTTGCGGGAGGTGAATATGTTGGATTTGCGAAGTGCCAACGTCGTCATCGGACGTGCCTTTCAAATTACCAAAATACTGGCTAGCTTGACAATCGAAGACGCATGCGGATATCTACCACTGCCCCCTGCCTTTTGGAAGCGTCTGTGTGGCAAAACGTTGGGGCACAGTTTGGCCACGATGTTGAACTTTGTGTTCCCCCAGCCGTCGTGGAAACCCGTTGGGGGAGGCTTGGGGGTGACGCCGCAAAGGATCCTTTAGAGAGCCTACGAACATCGAGCGGGCCGCCGAAACGGTCCAAGACGCGCCCAAGACAGCCCAGTACGCCCCCACACGACCCCACGACGAGCTCGGAGGCGCCATACGACTGTCCCAACGGCGCTCGGAAACGTCGAGGGTGGCCCTAAGACGGCCCAAGAGGGCCCCAAGACAGCCCGAGAGCGCCCCCGGAGAGCTCCAAGACGGCCCTCGAGGCTCCCAAGACGCCTCATAGCACTCCAGGATAACCTCCCGGCGGCCCTCCCGAGGCACAATCTATAGATTTTCGATGTTTGGTTCACTAGCTGGCCGCTCTGCGGTTGATCGGGATTTGTTGAATTTATAAGAATGAGCGCGCGTTCCTTGGCGAGAGGAAAATCATCGAGAGGAGAATAGGCGTGAGGATCAGGAGGGCGAGGCTCGCGAGGGGGAGGATCAGGAGAGCGAGGGTCACGCGGGTGAGGATCAGGCGAGCGTGGAGCAGGAGGGTGAGGATGTGGAGAGCAGGAGGCCAAACATGGTCCCTGCATGGGGGGGGCGCTGGGGGCCCGTGTGGGGCGGTGGGGCGGTGTTGCGAGGATGTCTCGAGCGAGAGCGCATGATGGGGACACGCCCAGCGCAGCGCCGGAAATGGTCCTTGGGGGTGCGCTGGGGGCCCGTGTGGGGCGATGTTGCGAGGCTGTCTCGAGCGAGAGCGCACGATGGGGACGCGCCCAGCGCAGCGCCTGAAATGGTGCGCTGGAGGCCCGTGGGGCGATGTTGCGAGGCTGTCTCGAGCGAGAGTACATGATGGGGACGCGCCCAGCGCAGCGCCGGTCCTTGGGGGTGCGCTTTGGGCCCGTGTGGGGCGATGTTGCGAGGATGTCTCGAGCGAGAGTGCATGATGGGGACAGGACCAGCGCAGCGCCAGAAATGGTCCTTGAAGGTGCGCTGGGGGCCCGTGTGGGGCGATGTTGCGAGGATGTCTCGAGCGAGAGCGCATGATGGGGACATGCCCAGCGCAGCGCCGGAAATGGTCCTTGGGGGTGCGCTGGGGGCCCGTGTGGGCCGTGTGGGGCGATGTTGCGAGGATGTTTCGAGCGAGAGCGCATGATGGGGACGCGCCCAGCGCAGCGCCGGAAATGGAGCGCTGGGGGCCCGTGAGGCGATGTTGCGAGGCTGTCTCGAGCGAGAGTACATGATGGGGACGCGCCCAGCGCAGCGCCGGAAATGTGGGGCGATGTTTACATCGCCCCACATTTCGGGGATGTCTCGAGCGCCCAGCGCAGCGCCGGAAATGGTCCTTGGGGGTGCGCTTGGGGCCCGTGTGGGCCGTGTGGGGCGATGTTGCGCGGATGTCTCGAGCGAGAGCGCCGGATGGGGACGCTCTCGGCGCAGCGCCGGAACTAGAGCGGTGGAGGCCCGTGGGGCGATGTTGCGAGGCTGTCTCGAGCGAGAGTGCATGATGGGGACGCGCCCAGCGCAGCGCTGGAAATGGTCCTTGGGGGTGCGCTTGGGGCCTGTGTGGGGCGATGTTGCGTGGATGTATGTCTCGAGCGAGAGCGTCGGATGGGGACATGCCCAGCGCAGCGCCGGAAATGGTCCTTGGGGGTGCGCTGGGGGCCTGTGTGGGGCGATGTTGCGTGGATGTATGTCTCGAGCGAGAGCGTCGGATGGGGACATGTTGCGTGGATGTATGTCTCGAGCGAGAGCGTCGGATGGGGACATGCCCAGCGCAGCGCCGGAAATGGTCCTTGGGGGTGCGCTGGGGGCCTGTGTGGGGCGATGTTGCGAGGATGTCTCCAGCGAGAGCGCCAGATGGGGACGCATCCAGCGCAGTGCCGGAACTGGTTCATGGGGGTGCGCTGGGGGCCCGTGGGACGATGTTGCGAGGATGTCTCGAGCGAGAGCGTCGGATGGGGACACGCCCGGCGCAGCGCCGGAAATTGTCCATGGGGGTGCGCTTGGAGGCGACTTTCGTGCGCGCCAGGGATCAGGATGGCCCCCAGGAGCCCCCATCACGCTCCAAGATTGCCGAAAAAAGCTCCCGAAGACAGCCCGCAAATTCCCAGAAAGCTGCCGGAACGGCCCAGAACGCCCCCAACACGGCCCACGACGAGCTCCGAGATGCCCGACGACGGTCCTACGGCGCTCGAAATCTCCCATGGTGGCCCCAAGACTGCCAAAGAGGCCCCGAGACGCCCGAAGAGCGCTTCGGGAGAGCTCTCAGACGGCCCAAGAGGCCCCCATAGACGCCCCAGGAGCGCTGCAGGAGAACCTCTTGGAGGGCCTCCGGAAGCAAAATCCACAGATGTTCAATAGTTGTTGCTCCGATCATTGTTGGGATGTCCCTGCTTCGCCTGGCTTCGATGCAGGCTGGCTCAAGCCCCACGACGGGCTCAAAGGCGCCCGACTACGGACCCAACGGCGATCGAAAACGCCCAGGCTGGCCCAAAGGGTCCCCAAGGGCCCCAACAGCGCCCCAGGAGAGCCCAAAGACGGCCCAAGAGGCTTCCCACTCGCACCAAGAGCGCACCAGGCAAAGCGGACCTGAGACAAATTTGCAGAATTGTGATTGTTCTTTAACCCGTGTTTCCTGGGAGGTCCCTGGTTCGCCCGGACGGCGCTACAGGACGGCCCCAGGAGCCCCCATCACGCTCCAAGACTGGCGGAACAAGAGCCCCGCAGAGAGCCCACAAATACCCAGCAAGTTTCCGAGACGGCCCATGACAACCCAGAACGCCCCCAGACGACCTTATGACGAGATCCGAGACGCCCGACGGACGAGGCCCCAACAGCGTTCGAAAATGTCCAGGGTGGCCGTCTAAGAGGCCCCCAGACGGCCCAAGAGCGCTCCTGAAGAGCCCCCAGACGGCCCAAGAGGCCTTGGTAAACGTCCCAAGAGCGCTCCAGGACAACCCCTGGAGCCTAAAGAGGCAAACATTGTGATCGTTCAATTTGTTCCCAAATTTTCTAGGAGGTCCTTGTTTCGACCAAACAGAGGACGGCCCTAAACAGCCCCCATCACGCTTCACCACTGCCAAAAGAGCCCCCAAGGGAGCCCCCACACAGCCCAGCAGGCTGCCGAAACAGGCACAGACGCGCACACGACAGCCAGACCGCTCCCAGACGACCCCCCACGACGAGCCCCGAGGCGCCCGACTGCGGTTTCACGGCGCTCGAAATCACCCAGGGTGGTCCCAGACAGCCCACGAGACACCCAAGGCGGTCCAAGGGCGCTCCAAGAGAGCCCCAAGACGGCCCAAACGGCCCCCAGGGCCTCCCAAGGGCGCTGCAGGAGAAGAACATCCAGAGGGCCCCTTGAGCCAAAACGTATTGATTCCTGTTGCACTGTTTCAAGCCATGTTCTGTGATATCCATGGTACGGCCGCACTACGCTACAGGACGGCCCCCAGAGTGCTTGCATGACGCTCCAAGACTTCGAAACAGATGCCGAAGAGAGCCCACAAACAGCCCAGCAGGCCGCCGAACCAGCACAAAACGCCCCCACGACATCCCAGAACGGCCCCGGACGATCCCACGACGGGCTCCGAGGTGCCCGACGACGGCCCCAACAACGCTCGACAACGACCAAGGCCAAAGTGGCCCCAAGTAAGCCCAAGAATCCGCCAAGCCATCCCAAGAAGCCTTGGCATCGCTCGGACGTGTGCCTTCTCTTCGGCGAGGATCATCGAGGAGCATCTTGGATCATGGAGCAAAAAACACGCACGAAGTCGAAAAATTAACGGGGAATGGACGTCCGAGCGATGGCAAGAAGCCCCCAAGGCGCCCGAGGGGTGGTGCAGGAGAGCACCAAGACAGCCCAAGAGGCCCCCGCTAAATGAGAATCTCCACGGGGCCACCGGAGGTTCACTTCATGGATTTCTATGTTTGAGGGGGATCTTCTCCGGCATCTTTCTCCAGGATCTCAGGATCTCGTTGTTTCGGCATGGCGACACTTCAGGACGGCCTTGCAGGGCCCCATCACGATCCAAGACTGCCGGAAAGGACCCTTTAGAGAGCCCACACACAGCCCAGCAGGCCGCCCGAATGGGCCCAGATGCGCCCAAGACAGCCCAGAACGCCCCCAGAAGACCCCACGACCGGGTCCGAGGCGCCCGGCGACGGACCCGACGGCGCTCGAAAACGCCAAGCGTGGCCGCTAAACAGCCCAAGAGGCCCCCAAGACGCCCTCAGAGCGCTCAGGAGAGCCTCGGGACAGCCTAACAGGCCCCTAAGACGCCCAAGCGCGCTGCAGGAGAGCTCATCGGAGGGCCCCCGGAGGAAAATGTGATGCCCTTTTGTTTAATATGTTTTGACATTTTCTGGGATGTTCCTGTTTCGGCCTGGCGGCGCAAAATGACAGCCCCAGAAATCCATTTATCACGCTCCAAGAATGCCGAAAAGGATTGTCCAGGAAGCTTGCTAACAGCCGAGCAGGCCGCCGAAACCGGCCCAGACACGCCCGAGACACGCCCAGAACGCCCCCAGACTACCCCACGGTGAGCTTCGAAGCGCCCGACGACGGCCCAACGGCGCTCGAAAATGCCATGGGTGGTCCCGAGACAGCCCAACAGGCCCCCAAGACGCCCCAAGAGCGCTCCCGAGGAGCCCCAAGATGGCCCAAGGGGCCCCTTTAAGACGCCCAAGAGCGCTCCAGGAGAACCTCCTGTGGAGCCTCCAGACAAACTTCACAAATTGTTCACGGTGTTTGAAGTGTTTGCTGGGATGCCCCGATGCAGGCCGACGGGTGGAGACACAACAGGGTGGATCCTGTCGGTTACACCATGACACTTTCTGAGACACAACAGGCGTGAGGCTCAGAGCCCCCAGCGCTTGCGGGAGCCTCCCACGGATTTCTTAACGCCTCATGGACGCGTTCGGGGGGAGAGGGCGACGAGGACGGCGGCGACGGCGGCGACGACGACGACGACGACGACGTCGACGACGTCGACGACGACGACGACGACGACGACGACGACGAGCGAAAGACGGCGACAACGGCGACGTTGACGACGGCGACGATGACCAGGACGACGTCGACGACAACGACGACAGCGACGACGGCGAAAAGTGCCTCGCATCCCTGCCTCTGAGGTCCGTCCTCCGCTACGGCCCTCGTGTTTCAGACCCTCGTCCGAGAACCCCATGGGCTTTTCGCCTCGGCGCCGCGGGCCGGTGATCCGGTCGCACAGTCCTCCTTTGCAATTGCCACAGCTGTCGGTGTTGGCCCTCTTCCTTTGCCTTTTCCTGCCTTACTCAGTTCCTTCTTCCCCTCTCTGACTTCGATGCATCTCTCTCTTTCTCTCTCTCTCTCTCTCTCTCTCCATCCATTCCCCACTCCGTCGTCGTCGCAGCCGTCGTCGTGTCGTCGGGACTTGTGAGCGCCTATGGGGCGCCTCCTGAAGGCCTCTTGGCCGCCCCCTGGTGGCCTCGTGGGGAGCCTTTGAGGGGCTTCCGGGCGCCTCTTGGCGATCTCGGCCGCCAGTTTGGCGCAAGGGAGCTTCAGGGGCTCTCCGCTTTCTCCCCTCTGGGGTCGAACAACAATTGACCTCGAGAATGGGTCTGTTTGGGCCAGGGGGCGTGCTTCTGAAGCTTCCCCCGAAACTCATTTCGAACTGCCGACGCTGCAAGACAGCGTCGCGGACTCCAGCAAACCAGCCACATACAACCCAGCCCAGCAGATCCGCAGAGAAACCCAGAACAACATTGTAGGCCCGACTCCGCTAGATAGCAGCTGGAAGCGCAGGATTGCCAGAAGCGCAGGAATGCCAGAAGAGAGAGCCGGGGAGAAAACCCCGAACAGAAATTCCAGCCGTTGCGCTCCAAAGAGCCCCCGAGATACCCAAGCAGTGCCCGTCGCAGGCCCGCAAGGAAGGCTCGAAGAAGAGGCCTCCCAAGACCACCAGTGGCCTGAGAGCAGCAATAATAAACTTCAAAAAGTAGCCCCCACCACGAAGACCCACTAAGCTTTCTGAGAAGAGCCCGTCAGACCTTCCACCTGTCCCCGACAAACGCCCACGAGTCTTCCGACATACAACCCAGGCACAGAAAGGGCCATCACCCCTGGCGCACCCAACCGTACATGCGGAGCGGCATGTGTACACATAGCGATGGCAGCAACGGAAGTCGTCATTGTATCCACAGAATACAAGACGGTGTATGTAGTGGCCTGAGTGGCCGTGTTGACGGAGGAGTTGTGGTGCAGCGGTGCAGTGAACAGAACCTGAGCGCGCGTAGCGCGCGCGTGGTTATAGTTATATATCCAGATATACAACGTGTGTGTGTGTACTTGTGTGTGTGCCTGTGTGTGTGTCTGTGTGTGTTTGTGTGTGTGTGTCTGTTTATATGTGTGTCTGTGTGTGTGTGTCTGTTCGTGTCTGCGTGTGTCTGTGTGTGCATGTTTGTGTCTGTATGTGTGTGTGTGTCTGTGTCTGTGTGTGCCTGTGTGTGTCTGTGTGTGTGTCTGTGTGTATATATGTGTGTATATATGTGTGTGTGTCTGTGTATGTCTGTGTCTGTCTGTTCTTTCGCTGCCCGCCCAAAGCGGAAACACCGTGTCCTCGCACCGTCTCATACCAGGCTGCACGCCACGGCAAGCAATGCCGGCTGCAGTGGATGAGGGGGAGTCACGTGGGTGAGGCACGGCCCACTGTGCAGCCACCCGAAGCCAAACTACACACCCCGCACGCTGCTCTTGTCGCACCCATCCGCCTGGACTGGCCCCTTCCCGCGCTGGGCACACCGACATTCACACGACTTGCGAGCAACACGCGCCACCTTGGTCGTTGCCGCTGTCGGTGTTGGTGGGTGGACCAGCCCGTTCCGGGTGGCGTGATGGGGCGGCACTTGCACCGCACGATTCCGCACAAGGCTCATGGTAGCCTGTGGGAGCGCGGGTGGGTGAGAGAGCGTGTTTGAGCCACGCGTGTGTGCGTGTGTACAAGGAGAGGAGGGGAGAGGGGCCACGAAGAGAATCAACCTGCCGGCCACGGCCATGCCATGAAGCTTGAAAGGGGGGGGAGGGGAGGAGCGGGGGAGGAGAGGAGGGGGACAGGCCAGAAGGAGGGAACGGGGCTAGGAGGCAGAAGGCCAGGCAGGAGGCGGAGGAAAGGGGAGGTGGAGGGGAGGGAGAGGACGACGAGGACGACTCATCGGGGGCCGGGGCCAGCGCTCCAGGCACGGAGCCGGTGGCTCTGAATGCCACACCGCTGCACATCACAGTGCATCACATGGCAGCACGGCCGCGTGTTTGCGTGTGTGTGGCAGCAAGTCACAGCACAACACAGCACATTACGACACAGCGCAACAACGCACAGCACATCACATCACAGCACATCACAGCACATCACAGCACGCGCCGCTTAGCGTGTGTGTGTGTGTGTGGGTGTGTGTGTGTGTCTGTGTGTGTGTCTGTGCGTGAGTGTTTGCGTATGTGCGTATGTGCGCGTGTGCGTGTGTGCGTGTGTGCGTGTGTGCGTGTGTGCGTGTGTGCGTGCGTGCACGTGTCCGCGTGTTCGCGTGTGCGCGTGTGCGCGTGTGCGCTTGTGCGCGTGTGCGCGTGTGTGTGTGTGTGTATATGTATGTGCGGGTGTGTGCGTGTGTGTGTGTGTGCCTGCGTGCCTGGGTGCCTGCGTGCGTGCGTGCGTGCGCGTGTGTGTGTGTGTGTGTGTGTGCGTGTGTGTGTGTGTGTTTGCGTGTGTCTCTATGGGCGTTTTTCGGAATGCATACCGGTTGGGATCGCAAATGGCATTATGTGGTCGGCGATTCGGGAGCATGCCGAATCTGGCCTGATCTGGACGCCCAGAGGGGCCGCAAACCCTCGTGCTCCCGCTCTTTCACCCTCGCGAACAACGCCGACGTCGCACATCTGGGCAGGCGCACGTTCTGTGTTTCTATGCACAGATTTATATACATACACAGATATACACATATACATATAAATATATGTGTGTGTGTGTTTGCAACTGTGCATGCATCTGTTTTTAATTTCTAGATGTGTGTATGTATATGTATGTATGCTGACCAGCGTGGGCCCCAAATCGTGATAACTTGCAACATATCTATATATATATATATATATTGCAATCGAGGTGGAGCACCCAGTGTAGTGCAATCTAGGTTGTGCAATCAACGTAGTGCAATCTAGGTTGGCGCAGTCAGTTTACGTTGTACGATATGTGCAATGCGGTGCAATGCAATGCAAAGCAATGCTGGCGGCGACCAGGCGGCGGGCGGCGACGAGGCGGCGACGGCGACCACACCCAGACCGATGGATACGCCCAAATCGACGGGGCGGCGATGGCGACCACATCGCCGCCATATCGACGGGCAGGCCCAGAAGACGGGCGGCGACGACGGGGCGGCGACGGCGACCACTTAGCTGCCACACCGACAGACAGGCCCAATTTTGCAGGAAGACAGTAAGAAAGTCTTAGTGCAAGCAGTGTTTGGGGATTGTATCTGCATCTGTATATACACTCCAAAGAGGTCAAAGCCAGCATACCATGTGTGTCTCCGAAGCTGGCCACGAGGGCATGCGCGCTTGTTTGGTTGAAGTGCGTGTTTCATCAGTGGCGCTCGCCCTCCCAGTTCAAACCACATCGAAGGCAGTCATCAATGTGATGGCCATATGGGCCGTGCGCCGTTGACGTCGGGACGTACGCTGTTGGCTTCAGTCGTGGGCACGGGTCCCAGAATTGCGAAGGCGCATGTGTTAGGCATCGCCGAATCGCACCATTTGAAATGTCATCGGATCCCATATTTCCGAAACGTACGTGCCAATTCCGAATCGGTCGCTGCGTCGCATCAGTGTGCCAAGGGAGCGCGGACAGAGACGAGATAGAGCAGAGGACTGGGGTGCGCATTGACACAGCATCACCATACAAACCTCCGCCCACCAGCAACAACCGATTGACGGCTCTCCCAAACGACCTGTTCATGCTTAGGAAGTTGCACACGCTGGAGCTGAGCTTCAACTCCATCGCAGCGAACCTCACGGAGTGGTCGCACCACTTCGGCAACCTGGCAGAGGCAGGCCGTGCACGTCAGCATCCATTGCAGCTCTGGCCCGTCGTCCCTGCAGCGCCAGCGGCTCGAGCGCAGTCAGCAGCTGAGGTCGGGGCCGTGCCACGACGGGCCCCGGCCATCGGCGGCGCGAATATGATTACCAGCCTCGAGCGTATCCCTATCCCTAAGATTGACACGCCAAAAGGCGATGACAATCTTAGGGATTCGCCCTCACAAAGTAAGGGAATCCCTAAGATTGGCATCGTGATGAGGAGGTGCCCAGCATAGGGATAGGGCTATGTTCTTGGCTGGTAATCTGAGGAGGACGGCAGAGGGAGGGGGGCCTCCTCGGAAGGCTCAGAAGGGGCGGGGGCCATCCGAGAAGCTTGCTGGGCCTCCTCCAGAGCCAAGAGAAGGGCCTCTGTCAGAGGAGGAAAAAGTACCCCATACAGCTACCCTTCCCTCGTTTCCCCGCTGTGGGGGGCATCCTGGGAGGCCGTCGTCGCCACCGCCAGAGTTGCTTCGAAGTCTTAGTCAGAACGCACCCTGGGAGAGTTCCGGGGAGTAGCGGCATCGGTACAGTGTGGTTTCCACATTCTTAGAAGACCAGAGGGCTTCCGAGAAGCCCCGCCGCCTTTGGAGAAGGCTTGCCCCCTCTCTTTTTCCCGCGCGGCAATTCCGCAGAGGCTGGGCCCGCTTCCACCTCTCCGTGCACTTCCTGTGTTATGTTTCCCCTTTTCCCCTGTCTGCAGTGTGACAGCACGCACGGGTCGTCAGTCTCCCGACCTTCCCGCCTTTCAGAGGCCACCAACCCTGGCGTTCAAACATCAGGCATGCGGGATCCTGCCAGTCCACAGTCTTGGTTGTTTTGTTTTTTGTGGGCGCATGCGATATGCAATCCGAGATTATTGTTTTGGTCTTCGGCAATCGAGTTTTCGAGGGCCTACTGCGTTTGCATCGCGCGTGCTCGCAGCCACACGTGCTTGCCGACAGTTGACCAGAATCGGGCTTCGATGTCGCGATTCGCAGAGCTGTCGTCGCATCTGGTCGCTCGCGATCACGCGTCGGGGCGCTGCTCCTGTCTTGGTGACCACACTCAGCCAGTACGCTCGTCTTCTTTGTGTCTTCAAAATGTTCGATGGCCAGCGGGCCGCGTTTTTTCCTCACAGGTCGAGAACGCCAGCTGCCAACCACCGCCGCCCCCTGCATCTTAGAAGCGCGCATGCGGTCACACTTCGGATCAATGTCTGGAGAAGACATTGGAATATTTGTTCACCCAGCTGTTGCGGAAACCCTTGGGGGACGATGAACACTTGGGAGAGGAAGAGAGGAGGAGGACAGGGAGGAGAAGGAGAAGGAGGACGAGGAGGAGGAGGATGCCTTTGGGAGCCCTCTTGGGACCGGATGCTTCGTCGGGGCTTCTTGGGGGCCTTTATGTGTATGTTGGGGGCATCTTGGCCGTCTGGGGGTCCTCTTGTAGGCATTTTGGGCCGTCTTTGGCCAGTCTGGGGTACCTCTCTCGCCGCTTTGGGCTCGCAGACGCCTGGAAAGGCCAGAATCTGAAAATCATTTGAAAAGAATTGGAAAAACAATGAGGTGTGCCTCTTGAGACCCTCTTGGGGGTCCACATTGGGGCCCTCTTTCGGCGTCTTGGGCCGTCTTGATGCTATTTTGGGTGTTCTTGAAGACTCTCTGCTGTGTTGGACCTGGGCCGGCACGGGAACGGAAAGAGCGCTTCAGGAATTCGCCCGATAGGGCTCATGGCACCGTTCCATCTTGGGAGCCATGGCATTAAGAGGATGCTTTGTTGTGAAGATCGTTTTCAAGTCATGATTCGCTCTTGGGAGCCTTGGCGTCAAGAGCTTTCTACATCACCGTTCGCTCTTGGGAGCCTTGGTGTGAAGAGTGAGTTGTGTACATCACCGCTCACTCTTGGGAGCCTCGGAGTCTGGGGCTGTTTACGTAACCGTCCGCTCTTGGGAATTTGCGTTAAGAGTTGTTTATTTATTTAATAGGTTGCTCTTGGGAGCCTGGGCATTCAGAACGTTCTGGCTCTTGGGACTGCAGAGGCTCAGGTTTGAGGCCCGACGCAGTTTAGGTACCTCCGTCTGCCGAAATCGCATTCCCGTTTGCCGTTTTGGCCACCTGCCGATCGTAGGTTTTAGGCTCCCAGGTTGCGAGGGCGCAGCGCCCTGGTGCATCCGTGGTGCCCGCGCGGTTATCCTGCGCGCGCGCAGGGGCGCGGGAGCAAATGCCCCTGTGGGCCATGTTACTTCTCAGCGGCGAAGATTCGCCGGAGCATACGAGGATGCGGCGGAGATTCGCAGAAGCATTTTAGCAAATTTTAAACCCAATTTTAGCCCATGTGTAGCCCACGTCTAGCCCACTTTTAGCCCACTTCTAGCCCACTTCTAGCCCACTTCTAGCCCACTTCTAGACCGGATTTAGCCCAGTCGTTGGCCGCGTTGTCGGAGACGTCGCGAGGCGAGTGTGAGAGCCACGAGGACCAGGAAGAGAAGCGCGAGGGGCAGGAGGGGGAAGGCGAAGAGGAGGAGGACGAGGAGGCAGAGGACGAGGAGAGAGGAGGAGGCGGCGGGAAACGTGCACGCGACAGGTCGTGGCAGTCTGAACGGTCGCGGCCAGGGGCGCGCGTTGCCTGCTCACGACGCTAGTGCCCCCGGACACACGAGGGGGGAGTGCGGCGCACATTCCAGGGGTGAGGGTGTCAGTACAACGAAGAGGTGGACACTTCGAGAAGACGCCCCAGGTGGCTGGCGACACCTCTCTTCGCCTCAGGGGCGGTGGGTTTGGGCGGGGCGCCACGGCGCCTCCGGCGGAAACACCAAATCATCTTCTAGCGATTTCTGGCCTCTCCCCTGAGCATATACACTTGAGACCCTTGGCGTTCACAGATGTTTACATCACCGAACCGTGTGAAAAGGGCGTTCCGGTCACCTGGTGCTCTTTGGCAGCCTTGGCGTCATAGTTGCGGCCGTCATCAGGCTGTCGGGGGGGGATCCCTCTTGGGGCTCGTTTGGGTGTCTTGGGGCCCTCGTGGGCAGTTCTGCGGACTTCTTAGTACGTCTCGGGGGGCTTGGCCCGTCTTGGGGGCCTCTTGTGGTTCTCTTCGGCCCTCTTGGGTGCCTCCTACAGCACTCTTGGGAGCCTCTTGGGGCCTTCCTGGACCCCTCTCGAGCCGTCTTGGGAGCCTCATGGGCCGTCTTTGGGCCGCCTCGAAGGCTCCCAGAGCGGTCTTCGGACGATCTGGGCCCGAAAAGGCGAGAACACCAAACACAAAGGAACACTAAGGACAAACAATGTGTGTTTGCGTCCTCAGGCCGTCTCGGGGGTCCTCTTGGGAGGTCTATGGGCCGTCCGCGAAGCCTTTTCGGCGGCTTTTGGCCCTCTTTGGGGCCGTCTTCAACCCTCTTGGGCCTCCTGCAACGGCCATCTTGGGCTCTCCTGGGGGCCTCTTTGGGCTCTTTGTGGCCCGTCTTGCGACTCCTCATGGCCGTCCTGGGGGCCTCGTCGGAGCATCATCAGCCGCCTTGGTGGAGGCCCTCGGAGCCGTATTCAGCCGATCTGGGTCCGAAAAGGCGAACACACCAAAAACAATGGACATCAGATACAAAATCAATGTGTGTTGCCTCCGCACGCCGTCGGGGGGGTCCTCTGGGGAGGCGTTCGGGTCGTCTTTCGGAGTTTGGGCCCTCTCGGTGCCCTCTTCGGCTCTCTTGGCTACCTCGCATGGTCCTCTTGGGGCTCTATTGGGGCCCGCTTGGGCCCCAATGGGCCCCTCTCGGGCCGTCCTTGGGCTCTCTTTAGCCGTCTTGGCGCCCTCTTGGGGTTCTCTTAGTTCGTCGTGGGTCTATGTGTGGGGCCTCTTGGGCCGTCTTGTGCCGTCGAAAGCCCAAAACACATTACAACACCTAAGACAAGTTAATGGTTGTTGGCATCTCGAGGCCGTCTGGGGAACCCTTTTGGAGGGCATATCGATGCCATCTTAAGTCATCTAAGAACAAAATTGGGCTGCCTGGAGCTTTCTTGGAACGCTCTTCGGCCGTCTCGGAACCGTCTTGGACCTCTCTGGGGTCGTCTTGGGAGTCTGTTGGGCCGTCTTGGGCGCCTCGTGGACCGTCGTGGGGTCGGGCGAGCGTGTTGCGTCCATGTCTTCCCGCTTCGTCCCTCTCCTGGAACACCTCTCTTGAGGGCTTCTCCCCACCAAGAACATCCTCACTCGTACCTCGCTTGTTCCGTCACCCCTTCTGGGCCATCCTAGCCATCCTAGAGAGAGCATTCTTGACATTCCCGCGGCCACGGATGGTTGATATCGTGGCCCCAAGGGCCCTGGAGGTGCGTCGGCGAGTTCGTGGCTGGACCCCCCATTTCTTATTTCACTTGTGCATGTCATGTCTGCTCCCATATACATATACGCGCGTATCTACACCCTCCATCAATTGTTCGACGCTCCAGCTATACATTTATTCTGAACGCCTTGCGGCCGGTGCCGCCGACCTTGAAGGGGAAGCCCAACGAATGTGGGAGGCAAGGAATTCAAGGGGAAAGCTTCTCCCAGGGAGGGGTGTTCCCCCACGGAGGCGGGGTCCCCAGCGACCCTTCCCCCCTACCCCCTTCTGGGACCCCCCCCCCCTGGGCGGGGAAGTGATCAAAGGGAAGGGAAGGGGCTTCCCTTCGACCTGATTGCGACATTGCTCGATTTCTCTTTGGCTGGGACGCTTGACGAGGAGGTCCCACGAACAGGGACAAGGGGGAGCGGTGACGGCGTCAACGCTCACGACGACGACGATGAGGATGATTCGAACGAAAAGTCCCTCACACACGCTGACAGGGTCGGCAGATAGCTACGCACGCATATACGCGACTCCAATGTTCCATCACACCTCTATATATATATATGTATATGTAAGTACATGCAAATCTAGATGTGCATATAACCATGCATGTGCACACGCACGCCTTAAGCGGAACACCGGTGTTTTGTTTATCATCCGTAGCCCCCCCCCCTCTCTCTCTACCTGCATGTTTGTGTACACATGTTATACATATATGTACGTATCAACATGTAAACTGGGTTTGTCGGGTACATATGTTTGTAATACGTATAGAATCAGCTTGATGTACAGATGCATGCACTCAAGAGGCTTGCGCATTCCTCTCCACCCTCATGAATCATTGTTTTCGGTTTCCGACTTCGTATGTATTGGTTGCCGTTTCCCGTCGTGATTACCGCGTGTAGTTGTTGCTGGTTTGTCCCCCATCCTCATCCGCAGCTGTTGCGGGGCCGCCTGGAGGCCTCGAAGATGGCCTGGTGGGAGCATGGTCGAGGTTTCTGTGGGGTCTGAGGGGGGGACTCGAGAGACCTTCTTGTGGCCAGAAGTGTGCTCCTGTGCCCATACCGTGTTCAGGAAGGGGGGGGACATTTGTGGCCGTGGGGCCCACCCTGTCTGCTTCCCTGGGCCCTTTGGGGGGGGTCCTTCTGGACCTCACGATGGGCCCGTCCGGAGGGCCGTCGCGGACCCCCTGGAGGGGCTTGCAGAAGCCCCCCGACAGGAGAGCGCGTGCAGCCGTGCAGAAGAAGTACGCTGGGAAATCAGGCACGGCTGCCTGGTTTGAGGCTCTCTGGATGTTTTTTTTTTTTTTTTTTTTTCCTGGCCCTCTCGAGGTGTCGGGGGGGGGGCTTCGTGGGCGGTGTGGAGGCTGTCTTGAGCAAGGTTGGCTCTCTTCGGGCGTGTTGGCGCTCTTCGTGAGCCGTCTTGAGAGGCATCAGAGGCATATTGGTGGCCAGGGGTGGTGGATTTCGCGGTTCCGAGAGCACCGGAGGAGGTTGACAAGCTTGTCCCCCCACCCCCTGTCCCCATCAAACGACATGCTGGACCCTGGAAGAAGAGAAAGAGCGGAGCGGGCGGGGGAGCCAAATGCCTCACACGCCTGTGTAGCCCCAGGGTTGGAGTCGGTTTGTTATGTTCTCTCTCTCTCTCTCTCCTTCTCTCCCTGCCTCCCCCCCGTGCGTGCCTCTTTCCCCGTCCCCTCCAAGTCCCTCCTTTCCCCTCCTTTCCCACCTCTGTCCTGCTCCTCTCCTTCCTCCCCCCTGCCTTGAATGTGCCCCCTGGCCCTTCCCAGCGGCAGCGACGTCGTAGAGCCCCGTCAGGCAGGAGCCAGGACGGAGGAGCAGCACGTCAGGTGCACCAGCAGCAGCAGCAGCAGCAGCAGCAGCAAGAGCAGCAGCAGCAGAAGCAGCAGCAGCAGCAGCAGCAGCAGCAGAGGGGCGGGAGATGGGGGATGACGGGGCCAGAGGGTTACGACGACGGGGGAGGAGGAGGTGACCAGCGGATCAGGGAGGAGGAGGAGGAGGAGGAGGAGGAGGAGGTGGAGGAGGAGTAGGGGGAGGAGGAGGAGGAGAAGGAGTAGGGGGAGGGGGAGGAGGAGGAGGAGGAGGAGGAGGAGGAGGAGGAGGAGGAGGAGGAGGAGGAAGGAGAAGGATGGAGGGTTTGCGCGCCCCGCCATGGCCACCACGAGCCTGCCAGGGGGTCGGGAAAGCAGCACCCAAGGCCCCGTCCCCGGCAGGCCCGCTACGTGCACGTGGACAACAACGAGCTCTGCGGAGGCCGTTCTCGCGCTTTCGGGAAGCCAGAGCACGCTGCTCATTTCTAAAAATTTGAAAGGTCTTCGATTTTTTGGGGGCCAAGATGCTTTAATGTCTAAGTGTTCTGTCCTGGGCCTCTTCCTGGAACAATAGGGGGCCAGGAACGCTTAGAAACGAGCATACTTTGAAATGAGCACGATGAGAAATGAACGACGGGTAATGACATAAACATGAAAACTTGGAGGTCCGCGCGGATTTCTCGGATCGGCGCTGGGACCCCCTGGCGGCGCCTCCGTCGCCGCTCCTGGCGCGCTCCGCGGAGGGGGGTGCAGCGCCAATCCGAGAAATCCGCGCGGACCTCCGAGGGTTCGTGTTTCTGCCATTGGTGGTTCCCCTATGCTTGGCGGTTTGGCTTCGTCGAGGGAGTGACACGGCTGCCCCTCCTCTCGGTGGACTGGGGAGAACACGGTCCGCGGAAGGTGGCGGAGGTAAAAGCATAGAGGCTCCACTGGCAGAGCTTGGTGGAAATGTGCCGACATGTTGCAGACATGAAGGTTGAACCACAGACGTCCACGTCGGCGCCGTCAGGGAGTCTGACGTCGGCCACCTCCTCCGTGATATGCATTGCTCGCGCGTGTGGGCATGAATGGTCGAAGCAGTACAGACATTTATGATACGGGGTCCAGGATTCCCCCCGCCCTCATGCTGATTCCATCGCCCCCACCCCACCCCACCCCGCGCGATGGGCCCCTTTTCCCCCCCGTGGCATGGCGTGGTGGGGTCTTCCCCTGTAGGCGTGCGGTGGTGGGAGGAGGAAGGGAGGAGGAGAAGCAACTTCGTCGTCGACGGTGTCTTCCCCGTCGTCGCCTCCCTCTGGGTGTGGCGTGGTATTGCGGTGCTTCAGGCAGGGAGCTGGAGCGGACGGTGTCTTCGTCGTCGTCGTCGTCGTCCGCCCTCCCATCCCATCGGGGGGGGAACCGAGGGACCCTGAGACCCACCCCATCCAGGGGGGGCCGTGGGCCCAGAGCCTGGGATCATGTGTAGTTGGTATGAGTGGTTATGTTGCGTGGTGATGCGTACGTGATTGCATTTTCCTTGTGTGTTTGCTTTTGGAGATGCAGCAATCGCGAGAGCACTGAATTCCAAGACACAGTGGTATGTACATACCATCTCCGCCGTGCCTGGAGAGGCATCACAGACGAGGTCATTGGCATGAAGAAGATTCTCGTGTTTGACGTATCGCACAACCCAGATTCGGAGGGCTGTTTTGCCTTTCTGCTGGCGCCCCCAGCCAAGGGAAGTCCTTCAGGCAGCCTCGATCACCAACATGTGGAACAATTCTCGCGACGCGAGTCAAAAAGGCGGCTTGATTTCGGAGCAATTCACCCTACGGTGGAACAGGCACAAGTTTTGCTCGATGCGTGAGGGATCAATGTGGACGGTGCATTATGTTGAATATCCGAATCTGGATTTACAGATGTTGGTCTGGGGGGCGCGGGTGTAGCATTCCGGGGTACCTGGACTTTCCCAACGTGTTGCAATTCTTTGGTTTCGCACAGTCATGGGGTAAGCATCATGTCAGGTTCCGCGTGCAGGTTCTGGCGCGTCTTCGCTTGCATGGCTTTGGGTGCATTGGTTAGGAGCTTCAGGCGCAGAGTTTCACGCTGGCATTCGAGTCGTAAAGGCAAGCGTGCAGTCGGGAGGCAAGGTCTGTGTTGTGAAGGTACGTTTGCCAGAAGCCAACGTAGTCGTTACATTGAGGGCTCAGCGCAACGAGGTCTGACTTTGGGCGCTGCGCTTCATGGTTGAAGTTGGCAATCAGATTCTAGCGTGCAGGGCCAAAGGATTCCGAGCAAGGCATGCTTCTTGGTTCAACGCCAAGCGCCCCGCCCCGGCAGACAGTGCTTCCCCCATGGATTTCGTCATGCGATTGGCCGTCTTCTTCTCCTCCTCTTCCTCAGTCTTCCCTTGGGCTTCGCTCCCAGCGCAGCTCGTACTCAAAGCCCCTCTGGCGGACAGCTTATAGATATGCCGATGGCTCGTCTTCCACGTATCCGAGGTGTCTGCGTGCTGCACGCAATGCCGTCCCGTGGTGGGCCAGCGGACTTAACGGGTGAGATCCCCGAGGACATCATCACCGAGTGGGCCGAGGTGGGGCGGCACGTCTTCTGCGCACTCTGCCCTTACCCTGCGCCCGTTGTCAAGCCGTCAGCGTGCAGGCAGGGATCGGGGCAGCTACCGCCAGCGCCGTGTGGGCAGTGGTCGTGCTGAGACAGCACGGCCACACCAGACTCCCAATCGGCATTGCCTCGACTTAGCTTTTGCATCTGCGGGGGTGCTGGTGATCAGCTAGGGCGGCCAGGATGAATTGCGTCCCAGGATGCAGATTCTCAACAGCCATATGTGGCCAGGCTGCGCATGGACCTGCCTAGTAGAGCGCGAGCATCTGTGGATTGATACCGGTTGGGGTCGCACAACAGACGTCCCATGACAAACCCGCTGGATCAGAATCAGGGGTCAGTGACGGAAGGGAAGACGGCAGACGGAGGGTCTGAAGAGAGCTGTGCCATGGTGCGGAACAAGGTGCCGCTGAGGGTGGTGCAGACGGCGATGCGGCGATGCGGGCGGTGGCTGCGAAGTCGGCAGTCTCAGGACGGCGTCGATGCCCTCCGCGTCTCGAAGGCTTCCGTGCGGGCCGGCCCGCCGAGCGGTCCGGGGAGGTCTCCGCACCTCGGCGCCGCCTCCCGCGGCGCCCCCTGGGGCGCTCCGTGCCCCAGCTACTCGGGGTGCTGAGGCCGCTCCGAGCTGCTCGGGGGGGGCCCGTTGAGGCCAGCAGCGTCTCTAATTGGGGGAGCCGTCTGTGCGCCAGCCGAGGCCCCACCGGATGGATTGGATTACCACCGGAACGGGTTATCGCTACGGTAGAGGGGAACAATTACTCAGAGCGTGAATTACCTACCCCGCTTTCGCTTCCAGGCAAAACCAAGCCATACCATGCGCCTCCTCGTGAAGCGGCCTGACCAGTACAGGCTGCAATTTGGCATCGTTTGGTATCTCTTGGAAGCGAGGGTGGTCAAAAGCGAGGTAGGTTTGTTTTCCCCCTAATTACTGAGCACTCCCCCTCCCCCCCAACCCCAACGTTGGCACGCGCGGGGGGGGAAGCTGCGGCCGAAGTGCATCTCATCAGACCCACCGCCAACTTTGAACATTCGGGGGAGGGGGAGCCGCTGACAGATGCATGTGGCATCATGCGTGTTCGCTGATTTGTTCCGAGGCCTGTACTACATTGGTGGTCCCCTCTTTTTCGATCAAAGAGCCCGTCGGTATGATTAGGTAATTCGTCGAGTGGCAGCCGTTGCCCATGGCAGCGGCAGCTGAGTGGGCGTTGTCGCGAGGCAGAGTACATATCCATCCTGAACACGAGCATCGTAGGGTACCACTCGTCCCTGTGCATTGACCAGCCTTTCTGCTGGAAGTACATGTACAGGCGTTGAGCCTGCAAGGGGGTTACGCCTGTGGTGCGCATGCTGTTTTATTTCAGTCGGGGGAAGTCGGGACATGGTGACATACTATGATTCCAACCAGGGTCTGGCTCCTTGAGTCCCCTCTCACCTCCGAGGGAACGGGCAGCTGGGAGATGAAAGGAGAGCCAGCTGCCAGGATCGGACCCTTGTTTTTCTTTGTCCTTCTCTTTTTCTGGATGCTCCTCGTTCTGGTCTCTTCTTCCACGGTCAGACGCATGCGTTTCAGTCTAGTTGCTTGGGCGTGTTCTGCAAAGCTCCCCTCCTCCTCCTCCTCCTCCTCCTCCTCCTCCTCCTCCTCCTCCTCCTCCTCCTCCTATTCCTATTCCTCCTCCTCCTCCTCCTCCTCCTCCTCCTCCTCCTCCTCCTCCTCCTCCCCCCTCCTCCTCATCCTCCTCCTCCTCCTCCTCCTCCTCCTCGCCCTCCACATCCTCCCACCCCTCCTCTCTTCCCTGTTAAGGGGCCTTTTCTGGGGCTTCGCGGTGGGCCTCCTCGTAGGGAGAGGGGGCAAAGGGGATCCGGGGGGGAAGAGGGGAGGGGAGATCCAGAAGGTTCGAGGCGGGTGGGGGAAAGAGTTCTAGCAAAGGCCACGGACAGTACAGTGGAAGCGCTTGTCAAGAAACTATCTACTTCTCGTCGGGGCACCCTGGGTTTCTTCGCTCCGCGCGCTGCGTGGTGACTTCCCGCTGCCGTCAGAGAAGCTGCTGCGTTCAAGGTCCTCCGTGTTTTCCCTCAAGTGTACCTCGTGCGCGGGTTTTCAGTGATGGGTTTCTTGCGAGGGGTTCTTGCGGCCGCGCCCGCACTGTAAGGTTCCATTCCAGGAGGAACCCTCACGATAATCATTGATTCCTGGGTCTAGGGGCACATCGAGACATGCACGGCGGCTCAAGCATGTATTCTTGTTTGTCTCCTGGTGAGATGTCCCATCTCCCAGCACGTCTTTGTTGGACGTTTGTTCGGCAGTTGCACTAGGCTTACGTAGCCACTTATGTGCTGATTCCCATCCAGACTCTGAGTAAAAGAAGTTTGGGGAGCACGAGGAGGAGGAGGAGGAGGAGGAGGAAGAGGTGGAGCACTCCGAGTGAGCCTCTATCGCCCTCCCTCTTTCTTCTCTGGCACATGGCATGTTGGCTTGCAGATGCTCGACAGGGGGGGCCCGGCGCCGATCCAAGAAGTCCGCGCGGACCTCCGAGATGTTGTGCTTGTGCCGTTGCTCCTTCCGCTCCAGATCCATCAGAGCGGCGCAAAAAAGCGAGGTCGTCGGCGCCGACATTGGCGCCTATATAAGCAGCCCGCGTAAGGTCGCGCGTTTGGCTCGTTGCGCATTCTGGGCCCGCGCTGCTCGCGGTCGGCCTCCGGTGCCCATCGCTCGCCGCCGGGCCTGCCCTGCCGCCCCCTCGCTCGACCGCCAGAGCAGGTCCACGTCCACTGCCGCGGGGTCGCGACCCGTGGCCTCAAGCTTGGCATCGCTCGGACGTGTGCCTTGTTCCTTCGGCGAGGGCCATCGAGGAGCATCCTGGATCATTTGGCGACAAAAGCCACGCACGAAACCGAAGAAAACACAGGGAATGGACGTCCGAGCGATGGCGAGTAAGGAGTGGTGGATGTGGACGTCTGCGCGCCCGCGCGGGCGGGCAGATGTCCAGATCTGCGGCTCCCCGAGGCCCCAGGGCAGGCTCCCGCGGCAGCGGCTGTGGCCGTATGCTGGCGGCTCGTGCCCAGCACCCACGCCGACATGACCTGGGCCACGGCCGAAGACGTCAGCGAGGAGATCTACGACACGATCGCCGAGGCCACGGCGGCGCGGTAGCGCAGCTGGAGAGGAGGCCGCCGGGGAGGGGATCTACCAATATGCCCGTGGGGGGGGGGGGGGGGCGCATCGACCTGTCGCCCGCTCGTCGCCGATGCGGGCCCAGCGGCCTGCCCCGCCCAGAAGTGGGCAGTCTCGCTGTCGGGGGCCTCTCGCTGACCCACTGGCGACGTGCCGCCCAGTCCAGGTCGAGGCTTCTCCCCTGAGCAGGCTCCCTCCCCCCCCCCCCACATTCCCCCTGTCGTGTGGTGCTGTGCCGACCCGGCTGCGACCACATCGCTGGCCTTCGAGGTCGAGCGCCGCCAGTGGCCCAGAAGCGCTCAGCATGGCACGACTTGGTGATCGAGACACCGCCGACCACTCGAGGTTGAACCCCTGATTTGCAGCGCTCTGATGTTGTCAGTACGGGCTGCTCGGAGGTTCAAGCCGTTCCCCAGGGCCGGCTGTTCATCCCTAGTCGTTTTGGATTGGCGGTCCCGAGGCCCGGCGACCCCAGAGGCCGAAAACAGCCAAACACTTGCTTGTTGTTTCTCTACAAGGCGAGCATGCCTGGGACGATCCGCGCGCTGTCAGAGAGCAACGCCGTGGCCGTCACGACACGAACCCTGGAGACGCTCGGATGTGTACGCCACGTCGTCCAGTCGGCCAACGAATTCGTTGCATGGACGTCCCCATCTTCTCGAGCTGCGGGATGCTGCAGCGTCTTTGTTTACACCGAATGTATGTATTCCTTGGCCGACAGATGATGGTGTTGTTGCGGATATGGATGCTGACGTTGATCAAGTTGCATGTGGTAGTGGCAATGATGGTGATGGTGATGATGGCGCTGGTGATGGTGGTGACTCTATTGTTGATACGATCGAAGATTATGATGCTGTTGTTTTGTGATGCTGGTGATGCTGACGATGACGATGATGCTGATGATGACGACGATGATGATGATGATGGTTATGAGGGTGATCCTGATGATGAATCTAGTAGGAATGCGTCTGACGATGATGAGGCTAAGCATAGTGATGCTCATGATGATGGTGATGATGATGGTGATGATGATGGTGATGATGGTGGTGATGATGATAATGATGATGCTGATGAGGATGATGGTGATGATGATGACGATGACGGTGTTGTTGATGATGATACTTGGTCATGCTGATTGTATCGATTGTGGTCATGGTGGTGATGATGATGTTGATGATGGCGATGTTGATGATGAGGAGGAGGAGGAGGACGAGGAGGAGCGGGAGGAGGATGATGACGACGATGGTGGTCATGATGGTGATGATGAGGAGGATAAGGATGAGGATGAGAATAATGATGATGCCGATGAAAAAAGTGGTGGTGCTGGTGATGTTAATGATGCTGCTGATGATGATGATGATGATGCTGTTGATGTTGCTTCTGATGATGATGATGATGATGATGATGATGATGATGATGATGATGATGATGATGATGATGATGATGATGATGATGATGATGATGGTGATGGTGATGGTGGTGATGATGATGAGGATGCTGAGGATGCTGATGCTGCTGATGATGATGATGACGACGACGACGACCCTTATGATGAAGCTAATAATATTGCTGCTGACGATGATGAGGCTAATGGTAGCACTGCTCATGATGGTGATGGTGATGCTGCTCCTGATGACGGTGACGGTGGCGGTGCTGATGATGATGCCTCGAGCCCCGACGAGCACCCACCGACCCACCGACGCGTTGTATACGTCGAGCCTCCGAGGACCCACCGCTGCAGAGAGACGTGGCAGGCAG